GGGCTGTTTTTGGCCCAGCTGAGGGCCCTATCCTCTATTGATGGGGAAAAAAATACATTTTGAGTGCTGTGTTCTAGAAATCCATGTCGTCACTGCAGAGTGGATGTAGCCTGAGGAACTGTGAAAAAGGGAGTTTTTGGTGTGAGTGGGATAAAAAGAGCAGTACAGGAGATAGCTGTGTGAATCTGTGGCTTTGTAATAGACCGTGGATGAGTAAACAGATAAATGTATGTCTAGAAACGGAAGAGTGGTGGAAGATATGTTAACTGTATATTTGAGGGATGGGTGAGAGTTAGTGGATTGATGCAGGAAGTGTCCTGTCTATTGTGTTAGCTGTTGCTGTCTGAAAGATATACAGAAGACCTCCACTTTTTATTCTAGGAATCTACCACATAGTACCAGTAGTGCCCATTAGAAAGGTAGGCTTTTACAGAAGCAGCACATGCAACAAAGCTGGATGTAAAAGCCATTTCAGATACTCTGTATCAGCCACAGAACACTCCAAGGAAGAAAACACTGTTAAAGCTTGTTCATTTTGCTTTCATTTGTTCAATAAGAAGGGACAAACCAGCAGAAAAGTATCGGCATACCACTAATCACCTTTAATGCCTTTGTGTTTTGTATTTGTGTACAAGAAAGGGAAAAATGAGTCTTCACTTTATGGGTTTGTGGTTTATCTGACTTTTTGAAAATGCATTTTGAAACACTTCAGAATATTCAACTTTGGGAATCAACAGTAACAGCTAAAAATAATAAACACCAGGAAAGTATTGTATATTGATTTTCAGTTTTCACTTTGCACAGTAAAAAAAAGAAAACTTAAAGACAACTATATGGGCCTTTTGCTATACAATACTTTAGTAGAGAACTAAAACAGCTTACAGTACTTTCTGGCACAAGTAATACATTCATATTTATGGTTTGTCAGAGATAACAAATCTTACCTAAATATTAAGTGTTATGATGATAGAAGAAATTACAGTGGCTACATTTTACAATGTATTCTGTAACTAATGGGTTCAATGTATTATTTTGACAAATGAACTTTTAAAGTGACCAAAGATTCAAGTATGAATAGTGAATTTTGATTTGTCTACATTTTACTAAAAGCTTCCAAATAATAATATATTAATTTACTCTAATAAAAACACCTGAGGTGGCATATCCTTGCCGCCTTCAAACATACAGTACTGTATTACAATGATTTCTCTTAGTTCAGTCGGGTGTACTCTTGTGAGGTATTACATCTTTAATTTCATTATTGGCCTTTTATCCTTTCCTTTTCAGATAAACCTAGTTGCAAGAAGCTCACTGAGAGTTCATTTATTTCCCCAGAAGTGAACTCTGGTGAACATGCCATTCTCTCCTCATGGCACAACAAGCCACCAGATGAAGGATAAGGTGTAGGAGGCAAATTAAAGTACACTGTACCAATATAAACTGCTAAAGGTGATTTTCAAAATCCCTTCATTTGCATTCAGTAGCTGTTGCTGTTTATTAATAATAAAAACTAGCAGGCACTCTCTAAATTAAGATAATATAAAGTAGTAAGCTGAAGGTGAATATGCCTGAACCTTCTCTTTGCATGATACCTTCCAAAATGATTCTGTTATTCTGTTAGGTAAAACACCTGCAAGAGCAGCAGTAGTTTAAAAAAAGACTGCTAATATATTGATACTGAGAGAATTTGTTGTACAGGATATCAGCAATCTAATTTGCAAAGACATTAATATACTGTAGCTTTGTACCACGGACTTTGATGCATGAAACAAAGACTACCAAACATTAATATATCTTTTAGAAATGAAAATGTTTCATGACTGACCATGTTGCTTCAGCAACATTTAGTTTTTTCTCATCATGTGACTTTATAAATAATGTAGTTCCATGACAAATTTGGCGGCACTGTACCCTGAGAATTAATGCCCTGTGAGGTTTAAGGTTTGAAAATTGCACTCTGACAATTCTACTGGCTTGTCTGTCTTGTACACAATCATCCTAGATTACTTTTTATGTGAATAGAATAATAGTATGTGTGGTTAATAACTTGAAATTGACTTGTACCTCCAATTATTTGAATTTAGCTAATTTATTTGAACATTTTTAATGTGATTTATGTATTTTTGACTGTTTTAATATTTTTTTCTTAGTCTTAATTTTATGAAGAATGTATTTTAAGAAGAGAGATAAAATGATCATCAACTTTAATATCAAGACATTCTTTAAATTGATCAATTAAAATGTGATGTGGAATGTTAAGGAAAACAATATCTTAAATAGAAATCTATGCAGGCAATGTTTCTTTTTTTGCAACTTTATGAGGGTACATATTCTTTATTTACATCAATCTACTATTGTTAATGAAAGCTCTTTCTAACACATTTCAAGTTACCATCTTAATTATTAAAAACACCATCCTCAACATGTTAACCACACTTCTTTATTAAAGTTTAAAAAGAAAATCCAAGTAGGATATTCATAAATTTAATAATAAGCCCTTTAAGATTTAATGTCACAGTCTAATGCAATAGCTTTCTTTGCTTTTATTGAACATTTTATTTATTTTCAAAGCCAAGGAAGCTTAAATAGCTCCACAGTGACCAGGAGAATCCTAGGCCAGAAATACTCCGGTTCCTCAGCTGAATCAAATGTGACTGGTTGTGGCGTTGGTGCAAGCAATGCACTTAGAAATAAATGGCAGTGATCCTCGGACCAGAAGTAATAATTAATAATTATAATTGCTTACACTTACAGTATATAGCGCTTTTCTGGACACTCCACTCAAAGCGCTTTACAGGTAATGGGGACTCCCCTCCACCACCACCACCAATGTGTAGCATCCACCTGGAAGTACAGTACCCCTGTGTGTTCCAGTTTTTATTCAAATTGGCCCTAAATCACCAAAGCTGATTACTGCCAGTAATTGATCTGTTTTTATTTTCTACAGTTAGGCCTTGGTTTCAAAAATACCCTATTACAGTGGTTCTTAGTTATGGACTTGAGTAACCCTTAGGTTTTCTGGCTTCGCCCCAGCTAAGTTCATTATCACAGTCTAATTTATTTAAATTTCCTATTTTAGGTCTTTTTGTAAATTTGCTTTCAGCTCTTAAAACCCTGAATGAGACTTGTAACTGGCATTAACCTTATGCTAATTAGTGAGTTTGAGGACTGTCCTCGTTGAGTTGTGCTATCTGACTGTCTGCATGCAGACTCAAGCAGATGAACTAACTGTCAGAGTTATCTGATACAATGTCATTCCTGCCCATGTCTGTTCAACATCAATTAATCACTTTTTAGTCAGAAATAAGGGCACAAGTTTTTAATTAAGCAAGTTTGGTAGAGGCTGCAAAAAAGGTCTCCTTGTTGAAAATAATGTACTTCAACCACAGTATTTTTAAAACCATTTTTATTTTTTTTTAACCAAATTGTTTAATAAAGGTAATTATGGTCCTTTAGAGTTCAGGGGGATTTAGGGTTTTGGTCCAGCCTTCTCTAAATTATTTTATTTAACTAATAGCCCACTAACTCTTAATAAAATATTCCAAGTCTTCAGAAATGGATGTTTCAGTGGTTACCTACTGTACAGTATAAATCCTACTCAACAGGGGCTCTCCAGGACCAGGGTTGATGACCCCTGCTCTAATACTATGGGATACTAGTTTACAAACTAAAATGCTCTTGCACCGTTCTGGTTCTCAGGAGAAAGTTTGGTGGTGATTCTGAGTGGTAATCTATTGACCGCTAGCATGATGTCTATGTGCCTGATTCTACTGGATCAATGTCATGTTACTGGCTTACTTTGTTCTTAGCTATGACCTTATATTTTTATGGAACCAATAAATTCCTGAACATTTTTTCCACTAAACAAGTTTATTAATACTGTATATATAATTGTGAAGTGAACATACTCTTTGCAACTTTTAAGACTAAATATTTAATTTGATTTTTGCTTCAGCTTGTTAGCAGATCTAAATGCATACATACTAAACAGACTTCTGCTAATATTTCAGAAATTTTCAGTAATGCTAAATCTTTGTGATTTACTACTGTAGTTTCAATCCAGTCTTAAACACACATTTACAGTATGGAGAGTTAAGAAAAGGGTTATGTTTATACCAGGAACAAAGCTGACACTGTCGCTTAAGATAAAATATGAAACAGCTGAACTCAGAGAACAAGTCACTGTAAGCAAAATCATATTTCTCCATTATTTAGTTCCCTGTGGAGAAATACATCTTTAAAAAGGAAACAAGTCAAATTGCACCTCAGGTTTGTTTCCTTGTGCAAATTTGCAATCTTTAGATTCTTCTGATATGTGCAATATGTACTGTACTTCCCTGCTCTCTTATTTCTCTGTATGGAAATGTAAAACAGTTTACTTTTGGTGAGTGGTTGTATGCTGATCATGTTGCTTTGATAATATGTTTCAGGTATTTGCTACATCAGTTTAGAATGCTTTTGAGCAGTAATGCTCACGTGTCATGGCTGGCACATGTCACCTACTGTATGTGTGTGCACTTCAGTGGTGGAAGAATTGAGTTCTTTTCTTAATGCAAAGTGCTTTGTGATCCTATGGGGTGAAAAGAAATATACACAATGCAGGAAAACTATTAACTAGAATCATGTGGGAAAATTTAACTGCTTGTGTTATTTCATGCCTGGATTTAAAAGAGGTATCGGTTTCAATGGCTGAACATAAATCTGTTCAAAAGTGAATTACTCTCAAAAACTGTCAGAAGTTATAGGTACCTGTAATTATGGAAGAAAATGTAAGGTTAGTGTGACTCTCATCTCTGGAAGAAAGGTGCTGTACAGAATTTAAACCTGCATTTTAATGTTTTCTTGTTGAGGCCTTGGGATGACAAAACTTAATAAGCCCCACCTTTACTACTGAAATAAAGTTTACTGTATGGTAGAATTTATCCCAACACTTGAAGTCACCAGCTTTTTTAATTTCCATACCCAATGGAGACACCTTTCAAATTGGCACTTCGAAAACAATCACAAGGAATTCGCTTCTTTATTCATATAGAACAAAATTTACAAAGCCATTCATACAGTCGTTTTTTGTAGTTTTTTATCACTTTTTGTTTTTTAAACTCAACTTCAAAAATTGAGAATATTCAAAATACACTTTTACCTCACTTCATTCTTTCAGTATTTACAAATATGTACAAGAAAATTTCTAGTTTCTTTTTTGTTTTAAACTTGTATTAAAAATCTCTGCATTTTTAAATTTTTATTTTATTTTTTTTTAATTTTGTCATTTTTTTATTTTTTTAATGTATTTTTTTTTATTTCGTTTTTTTGTTCCACCCAAACCCACACCAGAGCTGAGATTGGATCAGATTGGATCAGATTGAAGTTCCGTGAGTAGACTCAATGGCTTCTGGGATGGGTCCTCCTGGCACTGGCTGGTATGACATTGGCATGGGTGTCTTGACGGGGCTCTGGCGGAAGAGGCCCCCGTTGGGTGATCTGTGTTTGCACTGTATGGAGGGGATGGTGGAGGTGCTGCTGAGAGGCAGGGGCAGGGTGCTGCCAGGGCCCTGTGTTAGCGTCCTGCCCGCCCCATGACCCTGCTCCGGGAGGAAGGTGCTCACAGACAGCCCCGTGCCCGGGTAGTCCCGGACAGGCTCCAGCGGCTGGCTGGGCTGCATGCTGCCGATGTCCAGCGCAGAGATCTCGATAGACGGGGTGGGTATCTGCTTGTGTGCCATGTCCTCGTCCATAAGACTGGTCATACGCCGGTGTACCTGCTCCAGATTCACTTCCTTGTCCTACAGAGCAAGAGAGAGAGGGAGGGAGGGACAGAGAGGCTGAGACCGGCTTTCCGAGGAGGTTTTCAGTTTGTGAAGGTCCATGCACATTTCTAGGTTTATTTCTCTTTTTTGTTGGGTGTGTAAGAAATAATATTTTCAAAGTTGCTTTGCTTGACCAGTCTGTAGAAAGTCATCACTTGACAGCAATCAGGATTAAATCACGTTTTCTTAAGTTTGTGGAACCAATGTAACAGATAGTGAAACTGCACCTTAAGGAATACAAGTTTGGCGAGTACACAGGGTTGTCTTCAGAGAGGGAACAAGACTAGAGTTTCCAAATTTTCCTTTGACAAAGGCTGAAATTTATCTTGGCCTTTGCAGAAAAGAGTAACAAGTCCTAACAAGTTTGAGCAAAACAAACGTTTCTAGTGTGAGGCATTGGAAGGTCTGACTTTGCTCGCTCAAGAGATAAAGACACTAGTGTAACAAACTCCTTGATAAATTCCGTCCCAAGGAATTAACCACAACTCTATATTATCTGTTGTTTGCCAGGTTTCACTGAGAAGAGGCATTTAGCTCATATTTGTTTTCAATTCTCCAACAATTTCCATGTACTGTTTGGTTTAAGGCTTCAACACTGCAGCTCCCTGTTGTTAAGTGCTAAATGCATCCCTAGTGTGAGTGACAGGACATCCTTGAGACAGGGGATCGTGGCAAACTTATAGCACAGCACAACATGCAAGACAGCGGAAGCATTTTATGCCGGTTGTTCTGAGACACTCTGTTATAGTACTTTGGACATATCAGGACTTCTCCTCCTGCCACAGATGCTATGGGAAACACAGTGTAGACAGAGGAAGGCAAGAAGTCGGGGTCATGGGTGTGTTTCTGGGGAATTTCCACACACCGCAGCTGTTATCCAAGACTGTAACATGACATAGAGCCTTCCTCAGTCATACAGTAGGTCTGCAGTTATTCTGCTGAATACCTTAACTATTTTTCTCTCATTGTTAAATCATAATTATTGTCATACATTTATGACGAAGGTGCATAAACAATGCATGCACCCATCTCTCCATTAATAAAATAAAAATAATACATTCAATAAAATAACAGAAGGGAATTGATACATGACATTTGTGTCACCTAACCTACAGTGCAGTATGTTTTTGAGCAAGGTACTGTTCTAGTCTAATGATGGATAGAATAGTGCTGTACCATGATAACTGATAAATATATATTATACATTTTATTTGTAATACCAAGAACACTGCCTCTATATGAATTAAATGTCACATTTGTATCATTTTAGAGCTAAGCTGCATCCAAGCTGAAGTAGCATAGATTCCACATAAAGTTTTCAGTAGGTAGAGATGCCTGATGTGCACTGACACGTGTTGAGTCACTGTTTTTTTAGTGGTTCAATGCATATTTATTTCTAAGACTTTCTTAAACCATAACATCACACTTGCATTATCTTTCTTGTGCGGGTGCAAATCAGAGTATAGACTTTGAAAGTTTTACATGTTCTTCTTGTTTAAAAACAAATATCTACAGTAAGTCATGCTTAAATTCAATTTTATCCATGAAGTTAAACTAAAGCCTCTTTTGATGCTGTGGTTCTATTGGAAAGTCTCCTTTAGAGCTTAAATATTCAGATCACACTCTGTTATAGTTTGACATGTACATTATAATAAAATTAATTTAAACTACAAGGAAAACTGCATACTTATAATTGTACACTATCTTTGCGTCTTGACAGAGCTCCAAAAGTTCCTAAACTCAGTCAGAAGAACTCATGTTGTCAGCTGTTTATTAAGGTTTAGCCCTTTATTTTGCATTTCTTTTGTCTTTTTAAATTTTCTACCTACACCTACCATCAACAGAACTTGATATGTACCTGACAAGCAGCCTTTTCCTATACAGCAGAGCCAAAAAGGAGGTTGAATCTGGCTAAGAAAGGCAAACCTTTTCCTTGCCAGGTTTTGCAAGTGGTTGTTTAACAAATGAGTTGTGAGCTGCTGAATCTGATTCCACCTTCACTTGGTAACCTAAACCAAAACATATCCTGTTCTTTGTGCTTTGGAATGGTCCCATATATTTTGTTTCATGGGATAAAAATGTAATGTGCCTGAAACATCACTGTGATTAACTGCTTCACAAAATGCATAAAAATGTCAATTTTAAAACAAAAAAAAACAAGAAAAAGGAAAGACAAAATTAGGGTTGTCTGATTAATGACAATGTTTTAGCTTTAATGCCTTTTCTTTTCAATCCTTGTCTGGTGTTGTAGTGAAAGAGCAAGAGAATCTTTCATTATAGTGACCTTGGTGCCAGGAGCCATCCCTTTTTAAGAATCGTTCTGTCTAAATACCCAAAATTAAAATAATGGGTTCAAAGTTTGGAATCGCTGTGTCGTCACCTGCATTCTGCTTTCGGTCTGAATGCCCTTTAGATCTGCATTCTTATAGTTCAAAGTGAGCAAAATGAAAGGTGTTTTGGTTGGAATTGACGCTGGTAATCACATGATTTTGGAAATGTACACGTCTTTTCACCCCAGTCAATGTGGACAGGACACCTTTGGTAAGGACAGAATATTATCTCAGGAGGTCTATCCTGACCTGTGTCAATAGCTTCTGCTTCATCCCAGTCTCTTTCTCTCTCTGTCCATATGTCCTTCCTCCCTTCCGATGAAGCAGTTGTAATATCATTATATGTCAATGGACCAGAAACCCTGGCCAGTCTGTAATCCTTAGTAACCTGCACGAGACCATAAAAGATAATGAATAAAAATATATCATCCGTACAGTGTGTCTACATTGACATATAATTGCAATAAGACATCACACAGTGAATTACTAGGGATTATGGACTGGTTTGACATATTTGTGGTTCTTATTGCTGTGGTGACTGAACAGACAGACCCATGCAAGCATCCTCTTTGCTCACACTTTAGTTTATGGATCCATTCGAAGGGTTTCCTTTTATTTTTGGTCTTCCTGCATACTGACTGCAAAATATTTAAAAGGGATTGGGTAAGAGCTCAGAAAGCTCAGAAACATTGCAGGTGTACTAAAAGAAATCACCAAGAATCAGGAGTCATTACTTAAAACAATGGTCTTTCATAGATTGCAATTGTTTTTGCTGTTGGTATTTATTTCACTTAAAAAAAAAACAAGATAAAAAAGTAAGTCCCACCGGTCAGCAAGAAAGAGTTGAGCAGCCAAACTCTTTCTGGTTACGATTCATCTCATTTCAAGCAGAAGTGTCAGCCAGACAAGTAGCTTCTTAAAAAAAAAAAAGATCTTCACTGCTCACTAAAGAAGGCAGCTTTCTTATTTATTTTTAAACTAGACATAATTCTACCACAAGAGTTTCATAACTGTGTGTACTGAAGTTCTACTAAATCAGGGCATGTATCTGAGGCTGGATCCTTAAAGTAGAGTGTGGCAGTGTCCTCCCCCCACTCTGTCCTCTTGGCTCTGCTCTCTGTCACCTCTTTGGGCTGCTCTTGTCGACACCGGTTGCTGCTCCACCACATCTCCAAGCCAGCCACAAGGCAGGCGAGCAGCAGCCCAGCAGCCAGAATGCAGAAGACGCCAGCGAAGCTGTGCAGTTTAAGTGCACGGCCATCGGGCTGGGCACTCCCGTGGCTGTCTAGGTCACAGCGCCCTGTACGAGGCCACCATTTCTGTTTCAGGATATCCAGGTCGCCTTTCTCCTGCAGCTCCAGAATCCTGCAGGGAGAACAGCATACTGTAACTACAAACACCTACTTGAATAGTGTATTGTATCACAAAACATATTAGAACAGTGTACTCTAATTACATATTCCTACTGGAACAGTATTATAACTACAAACTGCAACAAGAATAGTGCATTATAACCACAAATGTCTGATAGAACAGTGTACTGTAAATACAAAAGCTCTACCAGTTCGTGTGTAAAACAGCCTATGAAGAAGAATACCATTGCTTCTCAGAAACATCAAGTACCTTTTTTTCCACGATCTATTTTAAAAATACATTTTAACATTATGCAAACTTATTTTCTGTTTTTTCTCTTTTAGCTTGTAGAATTTTCTCAGTCGTTTATAGCTACCATTAAATATCAGATTAAAATTCCCAGATTGTAAATGCAAAAAAAAAACATTTTGTTCTTTCCTTTTTGTAGTCATATTGTCTTGCTAGATTCCTTCTTTTAAACAGCTACAGTACATACACTTGGAGTGGAATTTGCTCCAGTACACAGAAGTTTGTGGAGCCAGTGATGTCAAAGTCAAAATTATTTTTTCAGATTCACTGACATGCAAGTGCTATTTTAGCTGTGAGACAAGCAGGGATTTATTCTGCATTGTGCCTGCCTGATATACTGCAATATTTATATTAAAACATATTTTAAGTGGGTTATGAGCAAGCACAAATAATAAGAAAATATTATTTAATTTTGCACTGTGTAAACTTAAATGAAAAGTAGTCAAATTTAATATATCATTTCTGTTTTTAATCATAGAACCACATTAGTGCAATGTAAACAGGAAAGGGAATGAATTACCACTTAATTAAAGAAAAGAAAAATTGTAATAAATTGCATTATTATAGATAGCCAGAAGGGAAATGCTGTAATTATTACCATATATAAAAGAAAGAAAAAAACGAGTTAATTTCTTAAATACAAGGGAATGTGAACTCTGTGGATCGGAATTAGGATAATGAATCCCTTCTTCTGGAATATTTAACATTCTAGATCTCTCTTTTATTAGCCACCAGACGTCTCCTGCTGTCTCAAAGCAAATTACAGCTCAGTTGTTCTATGTAACCGCCTGCGTTGCAATATTTATTGCCACCATTATCAAGACTGTATTGTGTAGATAGTAATGATGGAATATCACAGCAAAGATCTCACTTCTCTACTTAAACTCTATTCCTGCAGTTCGACCTTGCTGTGCCCTGCACAATGACTTTGCACAGGGAGGGCACGGCAAGCCTTGACAAACTGCATGTGCGAAATGGATGGGAGAATTTAAAACATTCACCTCCTCCACTGTCCTGTAATTCATCAAAGAGAAGGACAAGACCTTTAAAGACAAGGGATCAAGCCATCTCACTTTAACCATCAGACTCGTTTAAAAAAATCAGCTTTGCAGTGGAACATGACAGAAATTAAAACTAAACGGAGCTGTGCTCTTAAACATTGAAATCTTCACATATACAACAACAAAATGGAGACATTAGTTTCAGCTACCTCCTGAAACTAAAGTTACCAGTCAAAAAATGACTGAAAAACATAATAAAGGAAAAAGATGTAAATCTGTACCCTTGGAATTTAAGGTTATGAATAATAATTCTGACTTTTTGAACTTTTTCAAAATGTCTTCACTGCCAACACAACATACTGTATCTTCTGATCTACTTTTCCTCAGACAACCACATACCCTAAAACATTCAGAATTCTCTGTCCCACAAGATAAATGCAGTGGCTAGCAATAAATAATTCTAACCAAAACCCCAAAAAGCAGAGCAGCTTTCTCATAGTGGAATTGTACCTATTTGTCCTGAACAGTCTTATTATAACCTCTTCTTGAATGTAGTCCTCTGTGATAAATATACCGTGTAACAAAGAATTTAAAGCACAATCTAAGATGTTCAAGAAATCAATAAGGCATGTGTGGGAATTAAATGAATTACAAAGAACAAAGGGATTCTATTTTTTAATAAAGCCTTAGTGCTATTTTAAGGTCTTAACGGGTTTCCTTTATTTTATAGAAGTTTTAATTTATCTGTAAACATCTAGTTTCGTTAATATGGGATCAATTTTGTGAGGGATAATACAAATCTTTTCTGAAACAGTTTCAATGAAAGGAACATTTTAATGAAGAAGTTATAAAGGTAGCCCTGTCTCTCTATCACATAGTTTCTCTGTACCACTGTCCAACTGTACTTTACTGGCTTCATAAGCATAGTATTATTTTGGTCAACACGTAAAAGCTATTTTGTTGTAAAAAAGAAAGAAAACTGAACTTCAAAGATCTAGTTCTAAAACGCCTATGCTGAGGGTGATTATAGGGTCTAATGAAAAGGAAAAAAAGCAAGTGTAAGATTTATTTGTCTTCCTCAAAAATATATGTGCTACTGTTCCATCACTAAGTAGTGCTCCACTAGCTTTGAGCATGTGCTCTTTCGAAGGTTACTTGCTGCAAGCGGCCCATCAATTTTCCTGGAACAATGTTGAAGAATAGAGACACATAAAGAAGAAAGAAGAAAATGCTGTTGGGCTTGGTTTGTTTGTTTTTTTTCTTGTGAATTGCAATTTCAATTTACTGTAAGTTGAAATCCTTACTGGGCATTTGAAATACGAACACTGCCAGGCACAGAAGCAAGAAAATCTTAGAAGAAGTCAGTGTCAACTCTCAATCAAATCAGCAAGAGTTTTTTTTCTGAATCTCAGAATAATTGAGGGTTATTTTATAAGGGGAAAAGGGACAAATAAATCTGAAAGCTAAAAAAAGAAGAAAAAAAAACTCCTTATATTCTAAGATAACTACAGTAAATGTTGGTTAAATAAACATTAAGGTGTACATTAAATTGATTGTTTACACCTGGGAAATGTTCATCATCATCCGTTTTTCACCTGTTATAATATCTCTTTTTTTTTCTTTGCATTTTCTCCCGTTTGCAATTTCTGACATTTTATCCTCAATAGGATAGTGTCAGGAATAAAATTCAGTGAAATCAGTGATTGTTGTGTCAGTTTTTCTGTGAGAGATTGGATAGGACTGGGATACTGTAATTCTTCTGCCAATACCCCATTCTACAGTGGTCAGAAATCACTAATGAAACAAGTAATTAAAGATAGGCAATTACACTTTTGATTTAGATTATTATGAGACATTGGCCCAGTTGTCTGACATGCCCTGTAGTAGACCCTCTGTGGAAAAAGAGAAAATGATGGAATCCATGAGTCTTACAATTTACAATTTCTGCGCTATTGTTATGGTATGAGAACTGCTGCTCTAACTCAGGCTCCCTATCACGCTATCTATGCAGATTTTATCACAGAGTTTCTAAGACATTTCTTCCACATCATAAGCTTCTGGAAACTTGAAATAAGTGCAATCCTGTATTCTAAAGTGAGAAACACTAATAAATAAACATTAATTTTAACAACTGCACATGCCAGGAGGTTAAAGTATTTTATAGTCTTGTAAGTGTGCCAAAATGTGCTTGGAAAACGTTTTTATTTTTGCATTTCAAATTCCTTTACTGTTTTAAGGCCTTCTAATTATTTTAACTTTCACTTTTATGAAGCAATCAAGAACATCAAAAATTAATTTATGGATAGAATATGTTAACAATTCTGATAAAATGTCATTGATGTCATTTACCTTTAATTTGGCAAATAACAAATAATTTGCCGCAGAGCACATTATATTGAAGCATTTGTGGCTGCAAAATATTATTAAAGAAGATAATGTTGTTCTTCTTAATTTAAAGATCAAAGAGGAAGTGATGGTTATGTAAAATCTATTATCTAAGCTGCCCTGCCCTGCATTCAATATTCAGATGTTTTTCTAATGTAGAGAATGGTGTTGTTAAACATAACTTCAGTAGATTATCGATTTGTAATCTTGCCCTTTCATCCACTTATATATAAAATCTCGATTGCTGTCCACAGCTTTGTATACATTGTTTCTAGCAACCCCCCTTCCACTCCATCTGCACCCTTGCAGCTGCCTCCCTGGTTCATTCCACATAGGCGAGGGAGATTGTGACAGCGCTGGCCTTTTCCCTGTCATTTCCTCAAGCAGGCATGTAAATCCCAAACACTAAAGTATTAAATACTCTATTCTTTTATATTCATCAAATTGATTCCATACAATTAGATTTTGATTAAACTACTGAACTGTATTGAAATTTTAGTTGCTGACTTCAACCTTCAATACCATTTTTGCTTTATGAAAACTTTGTAGAACTGCAGTATGTAAAGACCTCTACTGCAAGTATGTGGTGGCAAATGACCATGCCTCTGAAAATATGTGAATATCACTAAAATGAAAACGAATACCTGACACATTTAAAACTTCAGGTTTAAAAAATCAAACAGGTTTATTGCCCATGGAGAATGAGATAGTGAACTAACAGGAAAGGCTGTGGTAAGAGTGAAGAGAGAGCCTCACTTGTGGGAGAAGAGGTCCCTGTAGGGACTGCCATGCTGTAGTGCAATACCATAGCCCTTGCTGCTCATGCTGTTCCCAGCCACCGTCACCGAGCACTCGTCATCTGTCAGCGCAGCGTACTCTACCACGGCCATGTCCCACAGGAATGCAAATCCCCCCTTCTTTGCCTGCACAACAGACCAAATAGAGCCTAAGTAAACCACCACACACCATGACACAACATGATGAAAAAGAATTAGAATTCTAAAGGCACTGCAGACCAGGAAAGAAGAATAGAGAAACTGTCACATGAAGTTTTGTTGACCCAGCCATTCCTTCACAGGGTACACTTTTTTCCATTTCTTCAGTTCCTTGACAAAATCTGATGCTGTAAATGAACATCAGAACCATTTTGAGTTTAGGCCTTTATCTCCAAAACTTCATAGAACAGCCTACGGAGATTGGTAGCTGAATTTATTATAAAGTGTTTTATTTGAGTATATTACAGATTTTTTTTCTGTTTTTTTTTTAGGAATAAAGTAATGTGTTCATTTTCAAGCTATACAAAAATGTTATGAGTTATTTCTTCCAAGGATTACAATTTTTATTTTTTATGAACTGAAAACATGTTCTGTACTGTCATAGATATCTACAATGATTATTTTCTTTTACATGGATGTTACATTTATCACATTGCCTGTTATTGTAATTGTTTCTCTCATTTCACTTTTTTAGTAGTTACTTTATTTGTTACGCCAAATATTAATACCTCATCCTTAGCCTTCATAGTCTGTAAGGACAATATTTCAACATGTAAGTTGTTTAATGTACTTGTCATTTAGAATATTTTTGTAACACACCTAATAACAATAAAAAAATAATCATTTTTATAATTCTTTATGTGTGTGTGGCTTCTTTCAAGGTAAAAATTAAGGATATATGAAATTAATTTCAAAACAATATCTCTTCTATATTTACAAATTGTTTTTATTATGCTGGAGAGAATATCTATCTTTTAATTTGTTCTTAAGGACTGCACTTGAGAAATCATAACCAATTTTCTAAAAGCACAGAAGCATATAATTTTCACTCTTTGAAGTACTGTAGGTTCTTATCAGTCACTACTGAATAGCAGTTAGACAATGATGTCAATAACGACATTAATGACAGGTATCTTTAAACCAGATAAGAAGACCATTTCCTTGCAAAGATAAAAAATAATGAAAATGGCTGTTCATTTTAAAACAAGTCATTTTGTACAGCCTTGGGGAAAAAATTGAGGACTGCTGATGTTTTATTATGAAGGACTTTCAGCATTTTCTGCTGACTTCTTTCAGAGTCAGTACAATAATAAAGCATCGGTGCTAAATCCAGTATGGCTGTTATCAATTAAATCTACAGTATGTTTGATTATTGGACATCATATATTACAACTATATTAAGTTTCAGGCAGTGATAACAGAATGTAATATTGTAACTAAAGACTTTCAGCTGAAGTATAACTCATAGAATATCAGTGCAATGCAAACAGGTCATCCCTATTTCTGTTTGTTAAAGCCCTGAATGTATGGCTGCTACATGACATGCACTGGATGATAAAAGCACACCGTTTATTTGCAAGAAACTCTACAGTAAAAAAAAATATTAAAAACCACCTGTTGTACTTGGCGATGCATTTGTGTTCGTTCTTTCAAAACACTGTGAAAATTAGTATACTATTTGATAAGGGGTAAGTATCAGCATGCAGAACCTGCATCTTGAGATTGGAGATTGGAGAAATGTTTTGATTGCCATGCATTTTTTTAAATAATGTTTTACCAATTTTTGTCTTCTAAAAATACCATGCATGATTTTATCTTACTTTAACAAGTATTTAAAAAATGTCCACAGAGAGTTAGTTTACTAAAGGTAATTTTCCAAATATGTAAGATTAAAAAGGGTTATAACAAATGTACTCCAAATAGTGCATTGCACATAAAAACATGAAAAGAGTTTGAGTTTTCAGCCTTAATCACAACAAGCTGATATGGAAAAAATACACTATAGTGTCAGTCTCATTTTATGCTCATATACAGGATGTCAGTAGATACATGTAAAATTGTCAGCTTTTACTTTTGTGAAGAAATTAACCATTTGAATGTATGGTGACATAGTACCATGCCTGCTTGGTGTTTAAACTAATGTGCTAAGTTTAGAGGCTCAAGGAAAGTCCACGTCTACCTTGCGAACACCATCCGATGGGTTGGCCACTGAGTTGTCATTGCCATTGTTCTTGCTGATGGTCCTCCAGAGTTCCGCAAAGGTGCTGTCTTGCTCAAGGGGGTTGGTACCCTTTGCTTTAAAGTAACTGTACACTGCTGTGTCCCTTACTGTGCCATACGACAGGTCCATCTGCTTGGCAAGGTCCTGGAAGGTCCTACAGAGTAAACAGTAGGAGAACATGGAGTGATGAAACTGACAGATTGCCTCACACTGTGATTGCACACCTTTTGAAAGGGGAAAGGCTGTTACAGAACATCAGTTAACCACCTCTTTGCCTCTTTCAACCCTTAAGGTTTGCGATTAGGGGGCTGATAAACCCAGTGAAATGAGATTGATGGTTTCAGGAATAAAACTTTGGTCTAACAAGTCACCAAGCTGCACTATGGAATGTGCAGGCACTTTAATACAAAAGGACAATAAGAGGAACACTGGCTGAGCTACTGTATAATTGTTTCTAGCTTTACATGCTTAAGTAGTCCACATAAAACTACATTAAATCATAAGATTGCAAAGGCATTAGATTAATTACACAACATCCAGCAGTAACTAGGTGTGTGCATAATCTACCATCATAAATAATAGCTGACTGCAAATAAAGAAGCACTAACAAACCAAGCAAAAGAGCAGAGTGGGCATTTTCAAATGCAAGAACAAATTACTGTCAGCTTCTTCATCATGCTAAACTTAACTTGGTATACCAGCACAAATTGAGTACAACATTGTAAACTAGGTGACTGGACCATGAAAGATTTTATCTCATGATCTCTTCCCAAGCTCTCCTAAAACACTATTTTTGAGGTTTAGAGTGCAGTGTACTACCTTTTCTAGGTCTGCCCTTGCATTCAACAAAATATCACTACACTTTTTTAGGAAACAAATCCATGCCAAGGATCAAGGCGTTTTACAGTTGTTAATGGTGTCATTGATAAAATATTGATAATTTGTTTTTTGACACTCATCACAGAGCCCTGAATTGAAGTATGACCACACAATGTTACCATGGGGTAATTGCAATCAAATAGCTTTTGTTAATTTCTCACTGTGATTTGTATTACTGTCTTAATTAAAACACTATCGGAAAATGTGACACATGAAATATGAGATCCTAATTTCCTTTCATTTAAATCTTTACGGTTTTATTATTAATGCCAATAGGTTTGATGAAAAGCTTAAACATACTTGTGACATTGAATGATATCATGATAAAGTTGCATATTCATTAAATGAAGACAGGACATATTATAGTGTAACTAACTGAACACATTGTTACTTATAATGTGTGACTTGGTTTATTTCATTGCTTTAATTATTAATGCATTGCTTTATGGACTATCTTCAAAATACTCCTAGGTACTCATCAGAACATAAGCACCAAAAGACATAAAGAAGTGTCTTCAAAGCTTGTTTGAAACCCTTTAAATATTTCTGTTTAGATTATTCTGAAGGAGGTTATTTAAGTTCATTTACTAATTAATGCAATTTTCCATGTGAGTTTAATTGGCTTTGTAAGCACCAAGTGGAATAGAGAATAAGATAACATCAGACAAAGAAAACAATTTAGAATTACACAGAAAATTAAAATAGTACTACAATCTAAACATGCTTTTTAACTCCCCAGTGTCCCTCCCATTTGGTCTGCAAAAGAGACAGATGGAATCAGATATCATATTAATTCTAGCTACAATATTTTACATTGGCCTCATGCACTATCTCTGAGTGGGCCGAACACACACTAATACACAGTTTTTATTTGAGGTTTTTGATGTAAAAATCTCTCTGCTAAGTGTGACCATGACTCAAAGCAATATGCTGCTGAGAACTGTTCTGTGATGACTTATTAAAGTGTAATTGAATCCTTTCTGTATTAAATAGCCCAACAGCAGTATTATTTAGGCAGTTATTTCAGTAATAAGTTTTTATTGGTCCCCTTTTTAAAATTCTTAAATAATGCAGCACAGAACATTTTACCTTATGAACATTTAATGTCTTATACCATGGTAAAAGCAAAGCAAAACAGAGAACAGCAGAATCATGATTAAAACAGAGAAGTGATGCAGACTGAGGAAAATGATGCAAAAGAAATGCACTGAATTGGCAAAGCAAGTCCATTCAGAAAATGTGTAAACACCATGCAAAATGTATTGTGGATTCTCTGTAGAAGGATCTCTGTGAAAAAAAAGTAGTTGAATGCTTATAGGGATACTGTGGAATGAACCCTTTATTCCCGGACAAGGGCGGTTGTTTGCCATGAATCCTTGATACAAGTGGCTGTTGACGTGCAAGAGCAAGAGCACTGCAATGATTTAATGGAACAACTTTCCATGTCGGAGACTCAAGTATGCGTCAAAACAGATAACCCCTCTAGAACTGTGAGGTAACGTGTGGTGTGGTAATCCTGGTCGTTAAAAAATTGCTTTTGGATAAAAGTCACAAAGTACAGATTTTCCTTTGATATTTGATAACCAAGATATGAAACCCTTGTCCTGTATGAACTTTTTGTTTTTGAAATCTGAAGCATATGCTGATTGTGAAACACAGGACACAAAGTCTTCTTTTGGCACACTCCAGATATCTGCATGAGTGAGTACATTTAGAATTAAAAGAAATATTTAGAAACATATTTCTTAATTGCAGGTTTAAATTGTATAAGAAGGATTTTCAAAGGATTCCTTTAGCATTAGGTAATAGAACCCAATACTGGTTCCATATGGATGAATCCTCAGTCTGATAGAAGCTTCTTCTTTTTTTACTTACTGTACCTAGAAAATCAATGCCAAATATTGGGTTTGCAATTTGCAATTGATTGGTGGGTCAGTGTTCTTATTGCATCTGGGCCTTGTTTACGCTCAAAGCTCTAAATGTAAGAGCTACATAATGTAGCAGGAAAGCAAAATGATACCCCAAACTGAAATTATCCTGAAAAACTTCCAGAACTATTGATTGCAATGGGAAGATAATAAGACCTATCAGAGAGCACCACATTAACTGCTGTAATTCCATTGAAGTGATCTCATTAAGCTGTAGTAAATAGTTAATGAAACTATTTACTAAAAATGATTATGTCATATTACACTTTGTTACATTTGAATACCATAGCAAGATGGTAAATGGAAAATAATAAATAACCACACAAAGCACATTCAGAATACCTTTCCTAACTATAAATCCATCCTTCTATGCTGTACCATACTATAATGTACCTACATGATTATTTTTACTAAAATTGTTATCTGGGATATGAAATGCTGCTTGAAATTTGACATACAATTTAGCAAGTGGGCATACCTTGTCCGTGCAAAGCTTCAGTATGATACAATAAATACTAAGAGATTTGCCTCTTTAATATATTCCTAGTCATCCAGTACTTTATAACACTAAAGCTAATTTTGTTTCTCTAATATACTTAAACTTCAATCTATCAAACCGCATGTCTAGGCGACATTTATTATTTAAGTAATTTTAATATATATTGATAACATTAACGTAACAGTTTAGGCATTTTAAATACTATAAATATTGAAATACCTTTTCAAATGTGTGGCTGCAAGCTTTCTGGTGCAGTCTTTCATACCTGCTCCTGAATACACGGGATACTGAATTCTAGTCCATATAAAATGTCCGATATTTCTTTTTTGTATATCTAGAAAATTCTTTGGAACACTTCACACACAGACACCTAAAGTTATCTTAGAAATCCATTATTTTTTCTTCAATTAAATTTGATTAGGTTGTATGTGGAGGAAGCTCATGACCTAAAACCCACACATACCCCAGCACACATTCACATCCAGTCAGAACTTTGTTCCACCAGGTTCAGCAATGAGGCATGACTTCATTACAGTAGAATGTTGTAACTCTGAGGTTGTGTCTATTATGTTAAAGATCAAACCCAAGTGTAATTATTGATCTCAGCTGTTGTATTTTAACATTTTGCAACATCCCCCTTTCTCCTCCCACAACTGAGTTAAAAGACATGACTCATTCCAAAAAACGTTTCTGTTAATTGTCAGTTACAACCTGTTTTTTCCAAAAACAACAGCTACTGTAGCAAAAGCACATATTGTCACACTTTTCTTTAGTGTCAATGTAGTTTTCTCTTCCAAAAAATACTTAGCACAACAAAGTTTCACCTTAGGGAATTTCAGTAAGATCTAAACTGACCTCAGATCTTATATGGTTAGATATAAATCAGACAGGCTGGCTGACAAAAGATATGAAACTCCATCTACATGGATTTAACATTGGAAAAACGCTTCTGAAATAACAATTTATCACAACATTTTATACTATGTTTATATACTTATTATTAAAAGTTGAATCCTTGAACTATACATGTTACGCAAGTCACTCAGTAAATAATCTAGGGTTGTAGTATTAATTTAAAAATCATTGTGCTTCTGAGCATTGTGTTCTCTCGGTACACATTATACTGTATGTCTTACAGGGACTTTCGCAATTAACAGGAAGGCAGCATAGCTCCCTGTTTCAGCCACTTTAAGTACACAGTACTGGGAAATAATACGACTTACTGTAAACCTTTAATTGTTAAAATAATTTAGAGCAAAATGTGCATCATGTAATATTTTAAAATAAATAACTGGAATGGTTGTAACCTGGAAGCAGGTTCCTAAAGGCAATTACAATGAAAAACAACAAACAGAATGTAGAAAAATCTGAAATAAACATTTTAAATGTGTGCTGGTGGACACCCATTGTGTCAGGGAATTTTGTGAAAATTTAAACATAAAGCACAAGAAATGCTGAGAAAATACAATTTTCCTGTTTCATTTTAAAATCTCTCTTTCAGTGTTTGGATACACAGAAACAAAAGGAACATAAGCCACAAAATGAAATACCAAATATAGCATAGTATGAAAGGGTGAAAGGTTATACAGTACCTACAAAAGGTTATCAATAGCATCATCAATAGTTGTCAATCTGTGGCTTATAATTTGCTAAAAAGTTATTCATTTTATTATTTTTCCGCAATTTTGTAAGACCCCAGCACAGCTAAACATCTTGTGGTGGATGCTTTAGTCAAGGAACTGCCCTCGGGATGTTTCCATCTCCTCTGTGAGCCATTTGATTGGTTTGTTGTCACCAGAAGCTGTAATGTGAAAGGCCTCAGCCCCTACAAGCATGTCATGTACTGCC